AGCCCGGGCTCCCAGGAGCACAGAAGATGGGTTCCCTAGTCTCCCACTGTGCAGATGGGAAGACTGAGGCCCAAAGAGGGAGAGGAGAACTCAGACCTCTGGCTCCCAGTCCCACGAGCACACCTCCTTTTTCCCCAAGGAGGCCTGGCTGGGCCTGGATGTGGCCAGGGACCCCGGGCCCTTTCCTTCTCGCCCTGACGCCCCCCTGCTTTTCTCCCTGCTGCAGTTCCTGCTGATTTTCCGCAAGGCGGCAGCCGGGGAGCTGCAGGAGGACAGCGGGCTGCACGTGCTGGCCCGGCTCTCCGAGATCGACGTCTCCACCGAGGGCGTCAAGGGGGCCAAGAGCTTCTTCGAAGCCAAGGTGAGAGTGGACAGATGTGCCAAGCCCAAGGTGGGGTGCTCTGACCACACTAACTCAAGGACAGGGGTGGCTGGGGTGCCATAGGTGCCTGGTTTAGTGGGAGGGTCAGCCCCAACCCTCCCTGCCCCCGCCAAGGCCGCAGACGAGAGATGGGGAGCCGACTCCCAGGCTGGGCCAGGCAAGGCCCACGGCGCTCCTGGCTTCTGCCCCCTTTCGTCCGGGCTGTGATCCCTTCCAGCGGCCCCTGGGGTGACTGAGGGCTGTGTGTTCTTGAAGAGGGCCACTAATTCAGAGGACTAGGCCTGAGAGCCTACGCCCACAGGTGGCGGAGCAGGCCCAGGAATACACACACAGTGGTTCCTGGGGCCTCATGGAGACACTGGTCCTGCCAGTCCCTGCTGGTCCTGGGCGTCTAGGGTGGAGGGGATGTTTCAGGGTTCACCAGTGGGACCGGTGTGCAGCTGGGCTCCCCTGCACAGGAAACAGGTCAAGGGTGCAACATGAGAGGCTCCCACGTGCAGGGCTGTGCTATGCAGCAGCCACCGAACACGTGTTATCTCTATGAACCCGTGAGGTCAGAGTTATTGAGCATCTGGCTCTGAATGGGGAAACTGAGGATCTGAGAGGTGGAGCCTGGACCAGATTTAGAACGAGTGAGGGGGGAGGCGTGAGCCTTGCTGGGAGGACCCCTCCAGCCCTGAGCCACCCCCACACCGCCCCAGGTCCAGGCCATCAACGTGTCCAGCCGCTTCGAGGAGGAGATCAAGGCGGAGCAGGAGGAGAGGAAGAAGCAGGCGGAGGAGATGAAGCAGAGGAAAGCCGCCTTCAAGGAGCTGCAGTCCACCTTCAAGTAGCGAGAGGCTGCGGCCCGACCGCCTGGCCCAGGCCCGGAGCCCAGTTGGGCCGGCGAGGGCGGGCGAGGGCAGGCAAACCGAGGCTCGGCCTGAATCCTCGGCTCTGTCTGAAGGGACCACATTGAAAACCTACAAATGTCTGTGATCACAGCCAGTGGAGGGTTCTCACAGAGGTGGCCTGGCCTCTCCCTGCCCCCTGCCACTGTTCTGAGGCTATGACCCCAGTGCCGGCTCCCTGCCTGGCCCAGAGCTCCTTGGCGTCCCTGAGTCTCGCACCCCTGGCTGTCCCCTGCCTGCTCCAGCGCTACTCTCTGCCCATGAGCCTGCCTTCCACACACACCCCTCTCTTCCTCATGCCTCCGCCTGTCACCTCCTGCCCTACCCAGAGGCCACCTGCCCTTAACCAGCAGGCTGCACTGCCCCTGGGGCCATCAGCCCCTTTCTAGGCTGGGGGAGCAACAGATGGCAAGAACTGCGGCTGGCTCCGTAGAGCGGGACCTAGGGATCTGATCAGAGGCACAAGGGTGCTCCACCCCCGCACCTGTTCCTCCAGCCCTGCCTCCTCCCTGCTTGAGTCGAGGGGCCAGGGAAAGGCTTCTATTTTTGTGAAGGGACCTGGGCCCTGGCACCCCACACAAGCCCAGCGCTCTGGGGCCCGGCCAGGCAGGGTGAGGGGACAGCTGTGTCAATCTACCTCACGGGCTCACACTTTCCCAGCCATGCCTTCGGTCATGGTTGGGGAAGGCTCTGGGGGCAGAAACACCTCTCCCTGGTGCCCCGGGGACAACCTGAGGGTCCCAAGGGCCCTGCAGAGAGCAGCATGGGAAGGAGGGTCGGCCCCTTCCTAGGGACGGAAATCGGTGGGGACTCCATTTCCCAGGAGGCACCCAAGAAGTGCTTTAAGAAGCTTGCACAGACCAGGCAGTGGGGAGCAGGGGGCCGGCCGCCTTCCACCCTTTCACGCCATCCTTCCCCAGAGTGACATTCATTGCCTTGTCACCAGCGACAGGACCTCTCCTGTCACACCTGCCCCCCGAGGAAGCATGGGGACCCCAGCCCTCCCTGTGCCGCCGCCCAGTCCTGCGCGGCCCCCATGTGCTTGCTCACGTGTGTGCGTGTCTGTGTGTGTCTGTTGCCGTGTCGTGAAGCTCTGCCCGTCACCCAGTCCCAACAGTGGCTGTTAAGGCCACAGTTATGCAACTTTCAGTGTGTCATGACAGCGTCACTGCTGTTTAAACTCGATAACTCTTTATTTTAGTAAAATGCCCCACGAGTCCACAAGACTCCCGCTAGACCTGCAGAGGTTTTATTTTTCTGGCCTTAGAATCCGCAGAGATTAGGAGGTGCCGACCCCGTGCAGCAGCCTGGCCCCGGATTGCGTTTGCCTTAGCCATGTGTTTATACAGATGAATATAAAGAGTTCTTTTTTTTTTGGCTTACTGCTTTTTTTCCTCTCTTCTCACTCCCCTCCCCCTAAAAGAGCTACTCCTTCATCCAGTGGTACGATTATTTTTTTTAACTAAAACAAGATAAAAATTCTATATTCTTAGGTGTGCGTGGTTCTTGTTGGTTGGCACAGAGCGGGGGAACAGATCGAGGTCCCCTGGGTGCTCGGGCAGCCTTTGCTCAGGTGGCTTCCGTGTCATTGGAGAAGCCAGAGAAAAGGGACTCTCCCCAACCAGAGAGGTTGAGTTTGATGTCCGCCCTCTATCACCAGGCACTAGTCTGAGCCCTTTATATATATTAATCCATTTAATCCTCACAACCAGCTCGGGACAGGGATGCTGTTTCTTTTCCAGATAAGAACAGGGAGACCCAGAGAGTCTCTCGGAGGCTGGCGGGCCAGGGCCACTGGGGTGCAGCAAGCACCCCTCACCGATTCAGAGAGGACGTACAGGGCCATGGGACCACGGGGCACAGCATGGTTGCCAGAAGTGGCACCAGAACCATGTAGTTTCTGGATTAATGTATTCCAGAGCCACACCCAGAAACATACTCTAAGCCTCTGCCATCACACAGTCTGGTGTGGCAGGGTGATGAGGAAAGAGCCAGGACACTCCTTGTGTGGCTTTGGGCAGGTCATTGTCCCACTGGGTCTGTCTTCCCACCTGGTTGATGCGAGGGTGGGCTAGGGCCCCAAGGCCTTCCCAGCCCTGTGCCTTCCAGGTAGAGCACCACCTCTCCCAGGTGCAGCCTTGGGGCCTTGAAGTGTGGGTTTAGGGTGGGAGTTACTGCCCTCAGGTGGATGTGGGTGGTACTACAGAAGCCAGGATGCCCTCTGCCTAGGCTGAGGTCCCTTCCAGCTGTGAGAAGATGACATGTTGGTCTGGCACAGCTGTGTCCTTGAAGTGTATTTCTTAGGGAATGCCACCTGATGCCACCATCATTACCAACGAATGTTAGCTTAAGCATTGCCTTTCAGTGGCCTTCCAAGAACATTGGATCCCTAACCTCCTATAGCGAAAAGTGCATCAGAGCTGAAGGAGAGATGACCTGACTGAGGAAGGGCTAATTCAAGCTCCACACACCCGCCCAGCTGGCCCGGCAGTGGGTGTGGCCCCGGAGCTCCGGGATGTGAGAGAGGGGCCAGCTATCCCAGGCCAGGGCCTTCCACCAACAGGGCTCAGCTGGGACAGGGCTCTCAGCCTGTGTCCGCACAAGAGCCCCCCCGACCTCTAGCCCAGGCACCGGCCACAGGCTGAGGGATGAAGAGGCCCAAAGTGATTCAGGGACCAAGAAGGAGAAGGGAGACGGCTCCTTAAAACCTTCCCCCCACTCGTCCCCTCTTCTCAGTAAGCCTTCCCCCCACTGAGTCCTGGCCCCCAAACCCTGTCTGAACCCCCAGTATTTTCATCTGGTTTTAAGGAGAAACCTGCCAGCCCCCAGACCAGCCCCCTTTGGCAGACCTCACCGAGAGGTAACAGCTGCCACCTGGGAGCCGTCCCAGCAATCAGCAGGTGGGGCCCCAGGTGGCGGCACCTGCCCTTTGTCAGCCTGTCGTCACTGCCTGCCCCCACCCTTGGCACTGCTTCTCCTGAGGTTGCCTCACCCCTGAGCCCGGCCTCCACCAAGTCACCGTGGTTCTTTTTCCATCGTAGTCTGACCCTGAGAGGCTGGGGCAGCTTGAGGTCCCAGATCCGCGGAGGACCCACTCCAGCCCTGGAAAACAGGTTCAGTGGAACGGAGGGGGGGGGATTCTAGCGTCCTCACCCTCTCGAGTCCTCAGATTCACTTCAAATTTGTGGAGAAGGAAGCCTTTCTGGCCTGCACCCCACCAAGCTCCTTCCTCCCGCAGAACTGACTTCTTCTTGTTCAGGGACACTCCGAGGAGCACTTGCCACCCTGCCCGGCAGGGAGCCGCAGCGAGGCTAAAGAGATCTGTGTCTCCACAGTCCCAGCTCTAGTACAGGCCCTCTCGGGGGCAGGCAGGCACTGAACGGGTGGGGGAGGAACCGATGAACAAATGAATGGCCTCTGTGTACCTGGTATGTCAGCGCTTCATCGCTCTGGGCAAATGAGAGTCACCCCTTTAGGTACTCTCTCATTAAGCCAAGCCCCCACCCCTCCAGTTTCAGGAAGCCCACTCCCCAAACGTTCCCATGGCCTGAGACTGCCCCCCCAGGCCCCCAGGCCTGGGCCCTGAGACCACAACAGCAGGACAGACCCCTAGACACACCCTCACACTCCCTCACTCCCATCTCCAGGTCTTTTACCTCTATCAGAACTTGACTGGTTTTTATATTGAAAGAAAGAGGGGGAAAAAAGTTGATTAATTTTATATGACCCAAGTAATGCATTATTTTTTTTAAAGATTTAATATATAATAATATATGTAAGTTAGAATCTCCAACCCCATATAACCACCCTTAACAATAGGGCGCTTGGCATTCTGAATTTCTTTTCTGGGAAATAATTCCTAAGGTGCCCAGCTCAGAAGGCAGCTTCTGGGGAATACACGGAGGAGTAGAAAGAAGAGGGGAAAGCAGACTCTAACACCCCAGGCTGAGGTCATGTCTTGGAGCAAATGGATTAAACCAGGTGCTCTAAGGGACAGACTGACCCTGAGCCACCGGGGCTCAGGACAGGCACCAGTGTGCTTGGACCCTTACCAAGTGCCATCAGCCCACATATGCCATTCAGCCTTGACATTCAAGTCATGGAACCTTAGGACTGAACAAGGCCTGAGAGTGTGTCTGGTTCTATTTCCCCATATTAGAGACAGGAGTTCCGAGGGGCCCCGCAGGGAGAGAACCAAGCTGGCCCCAAGTAGGAACTGGGCCAAGCAGACACCTTCCGGGGTCCGCCCCCCTTTCAGCCTCCATCCGCAGCCGGGGAGGCAGGCACTGGACGCCCCACGCCCAGACAGTACTAGTTGAACAAGGGAAAAAGAAAAAGAGAGAAAACAACAAAAAGAGAAGGAAGTAAAAGAGATGAGGCTATGAGGACAGAAGGAGTCGGGGTACCCCAGCAGTCTGAGGCCCCAGACTGCGGTTACGAGCGCTGCCTTCCAATCCGAGTTCTGTCCTTGCCCGGTTGTGTGACCATGGGTGGTCCCTGACCACTCAGTCTCAATGGCCTCAGCTTTTAATAAATGGAGGACAGTGTCTACTTCTTGTTGCTAGAAAATTAAGTGCCTATAAGAAGCATTGAGCACAGTGCCTGGCGCATAGTAGGTGCCCAGAAAATAATAATGAAAAGAATGAGTTAGGAAGAGAGAAGAATATACTCCGAACAGAGTGGTGAGGGCACCCCCAAACCTGCAAACCTCAGAATTTGCTCTCAGGTTATTTGGGGAAATCCATGCCTCGAACTAGCCCTATCTCCTGCCCAAATTAAATAGTAACCACCCAAGGTCAGGGAAAGGGCCTTGTAAGAACAGGTTTCTTCCCAAGAGGTGGCTCAGCCTTGACCAGGTGGGGTGGGCTGGGGTCACCCCACTCCTGCCTATAAGAGTGCCCCGCTGGCCTCGACAGCCACTCGGTCCTGAATACGCACGGTATGCTGAGCATCACAGTCCTCGCTGCGCTCCTGGCCTGCGGTAAGCTGCGGGTCGGGGGCCAACCGCAGCCCCCAGGCTGTGAGCCCGGGCTGGCCTCCCTAGAAAGGAGCTTTGGGGTCCCACGTGGGTTCAGATACTGCCAACCAGCTGTGTGAGATGAGCCGCTTCGCTTCCATCTCTGCAAAATAGAACTGGTGATCTGACCTCCCGAGGTGAGGGTTAGAGGTGAGGTGTGGAGAGACCGGGCCCACACCTCATCCTGGGGACAATCAGGGCTTGCTTTCCCACCATCGGCACCTCACCCATGGAAATTCTTTGCTCCCCCACATTGCTGGCCTTCTCCCAGACTAGGAATCGACAAACCTGGCTGAATGTCACTCTCTCTCGGCAGGACCTGGACAAGTCTCTTCGCCTCTCTAAATCTCACTGGCTGTTTGGGCAAAGGAGAGCACTTGATTAAGAGTCCTTCTAGCTAACAACAACCACTGCAGGAATCATAATAGCAGCTCCTACTGATTGCGTGTTTACTAGGTGCCAGGCACTGCACTGAGCCCCGTACATGCAGGAGCTCACCTGACCCTTGCAGCTACCTTGAGAGGCGGGGTGCATTAGCACCCCCTCTCTGCAGATGAGGGTGCTGAGGCTCCATGCGGCTCCACATCCTGCCCAAGACCCCATGGCTGGTCAGTGGTGGAGCCGGCACTCGAGTCTCAGTCTGTCTCACTGGGGAGTGCATGCACTTGACCGCTCCACACAGCTCCCAGCTATGACAGCCTGGAACTCTGGGGACTCATTGCTCATACCGACCCCATTACGCTGAGGCCTAGAAAGGGGCAGCAGGTAAGGAGGAAGGACACGGGTGCTCCTGGGCACTTGTACACACGTCAGCCACCTCCCCCTTCCTTCAAGGCAGGAAGTGTGCCCTCTGCGCCAGGCCTTTCACTAAACGCTTTGGTGGCCTTGTCTAATTTCGTTCCCAGGAAAAGCACGCCCGGTTGGTGCTGTTCTTCCCATTTCACAGAAAGGGAAGCTGAGGCCCAGAGAACTAGGTGGCTCCCCAAAGTCATGCCGTAAACTCTGAACCCGTGTCTGCCCCCCAAGTTCCTCCTGCCCCTTCCCCAGTGGGGTGCCAGCCCCCTCACTATGCTCTTCCTCTCCTGTCCCCCCCCAGCCTCCAGCTGCGGGGTCCCCACCTTCCCACCCAACCTAGCGGCCCGGGTGGTGGGAGGAGACAATGCCCGGCCCCACAGCTGGCCCTGGCAGGTAAGTACTGTGGCAGGGGTGGGAGGTGGGTGGACGGGGGGTGGGGAGGGGGTCCCTGTGGGCTGACATGTGGCCCCTCCTCCAGATCTCCCTCCAGTACCTCAAGGACGACACGTGGGGGCATACATGCGGTGGCACCTTGATCACCAGCAACCACGTCCTCACGGCTGCCCATTGCATCAGGTGAACAGGGATGGTGCCCAGAACAGGCGGGAGCCACATAAGCTACTTACGGCTGTAACTCCGTTTTCATTCCTCCATTCAGCATTGTTGATTGTGCACCCACCGTGTGCCAGGGGACTCGGCAGTCAGGACAAGTTCTGTGCACTCCGCAAGCTTATATTCTAGCGGAAGACAGAGCAACAGACTGTTAAACAAGCAAACACAATAGATAACCCATCAAACGGCAGTGAAGAAAACAGGCTGGAAGAGAATAAAAAGCACGGGGGGGGGGGGTTCTATTTTAAATGACGTGGCCAGGCAAGGTCTCTCTGCCAAGGAGCCATCTGAGCAAAGACCTGAAGGAAGCAAGGGCGGACCTCAGCGCCGTGGGGAAGGGAGCTACAGGTGCAGGGAATGGCCAGTGCTAAGTCCTGGAGGAGGGACCAGTTCAAGGGGAGGAGCAGGGGAGTCAGAGATGATGCAGGCAGGAAGCAATCCGTTCTCACAACGGCCCTGGAAGAGGCCTTCCAATAGCATCTGCACCTTGCAGATGAGCAAACTGCGGTCCGAGGCTACCCACCCAGGAGTCAAAGTGGACTTGAACAGGGTCCTTACCCTGCACCCTGGGAAGGGGCAGTGGGGATAGACGCGCCCTTCCCCCAAATGATTCCCACTGGCCGCAGAGCTGAGTCACCGTAGCCCCCAGTTCCTCTCTCCCTACCAGCTAGCAGGTGGCCCCGCTGACCCAGTGCCCTTCCTCTGTTCAGCAATTCCCGGATCTACCGCGTGGGCCTGGGGAAGAACAACCTGACCGTGGACGACGAGGAAGGCTCCCTGTACGTGGGTGTGGACACTATCTTCGTCCATGAGAAGTGGAACTCCTTCCTGGTGCAGTAAGTGCCCGGCTGACCGTCTCACGGCCCCTGGGAGCAGCGCAGAGGAAGGAGGGGTCCCCGAGACAGAGCTGGAGTGCCTGCCCCTTCCTGTCCCTGGACCCCATCCTCACCCTGCACAGCCAGCTGATGTCCCCTTTACGAAAAATGGCAAAATGCTAAGTGGAGAGGGACACCCTTCCCATCTCCCTCACTGGCCAGGGCCCCCCAGAAGGTGCCCACAGCGACCTGCCTGGGCTCCCTCAGGCAGAGGCTGAGCCAGGACTTACCTTCACTGAGCACCTACACATTGCAACACACACATTATATGCGCTCTCATTTCTCCCTCACAACAGCCCTAGACAAGGAATGGAGACTCGGAGAGGTTAAGGACTCTGGCCCAGGTCACACGGCCAAGTACGTGTCAGAACTAGGAATCGGATCAGGTCTGCTAAGGTTGCTAGCTCTCATCCTGGTAACAGGAGAACATCAAAATATTGCACCCACCAGTGTCTCTCTTTTGTCACTGTGATTTCCTACTGACCTTCGCTTAACTTCCGGTTGACACCTCACCCCGAGTGATCCGAAACGCTTCTGTTCTCATTGCCCCTCCGTTAAGTGTTCACGATGTGAAGACACAGGTGGGAGAAGCCATGTCCAAAGGGCGGGCCATGGTGTTAGAAGGCGGATCACCTGACCTCTGACATCTCCGTCGGCCAGTGAGAAGCTGGAAGTCAGGATGTTTAGGGAGGGTTCTTGGTGACTGACAACCTGGCCCTCCACTCACACCCTGGGCCTCTTTAACATGGGCTGGGTGGCCAAGGCCTCCTGCCCATTCAAACCTCCACTTTAAACTCCAGCAATGACATTGCCCTCATCAAGCTGGCGAAACCTGTGGAGCTGAGTGACACCATCCAGGTGGCATGCCTGCCAGAGGAGGGCTCCATAATGTCTCAGGATTACCCCTGCTACGTCACTGGCTGGGGACGCCTCTCGAGTGAGTACAGCCTCTGGCAAATCACGGGAGCCTTCCTGGAGGAAGTGGCTCCCACAATAAGCACAACACCCACAATTTCCCATCACTTTTCCTCTGTACCTAAACATCTTCGGATTTTCTTAACTTTGTAATAACAACAGCTAACTTTTATTAAGCACATACTGTGCCACAGGCGGTCTAACAAGTGCATTAGAAGGTATGCTATGAGGATTAAACGGGTTAGAATTTGTCATGTGCTTAAAGCAAGGCTGGGCACATAGTAAGTGCCTATGAAAGTAACAGTCTATTTGTGGGAGGGGGTTAGATCTTACGGTATACCATATGCCCGGTATGTTCCAGACGAATTAAAAAGTTAAATGCAAGTGAACAAAACTATGGAAGACTTAGAGGACAATGCAGGTTAACACTCGGAAAACCGTGGAGAAAGCCGCTTTTCTGTGCGACACTGGAAGCCGAGTCCCGCAAGGAAACAAAGGGCAGCTAGAGCCTCGGGATCCCAGTTAGAGAGAAAGCACCGCGAAGTGCTTTCCGTGATCTGTCCTGCCTCCAGCCGCTCTCCCTTCCCTGCGCTCAGAGGGCTCTCTGACCCAGACCCGCTGGGACCCCTGGCTCAGAGCCTGCCCATTAAGGGCCTACGCGTGGTTCCCGTGAGGTCTAGCCAGACCTGTCCCAGCCCCATCCATCCCCCCCCCACCGCCGTGTTCCCAAAGGCCTCCCCGCTCACCGCCCGCTCTCTCCCCAGCCAACGGCCCCATTGCCAAGGAGCTACAACAGGGCCTGCAGCCCGTGGTGGACCACGCCACGTGCACCCAGAAGGACTGGTGGGACACCATGGTAAAGGACACCATGGTGTGTGCTGGGGGTGATGGTATCACCTCGGCCTGCAAAGTGAGTGTCCGGGCCCTGCCCCCTCCCTCTGCAGGTGGCCATGTGGGAGGGGGCATCGGGGAGGGCAAAGGGAGGTGTGGAGCAGGGAGACCCACGCGAGCACACCCTTTCCGTGGGAGGAGACTGAGCTCTGGGTGGGCCCAGGAGGCTTAGGAGAAACGTGCCCCCCCCACCGCCTTCCCGCCCACCCACCCACCCCCAGCACTGTGGCGAGAGCGTGAGAGTGGAACATGAGTGCCTTCGAGTCCCCATTCCACCACTTTGTAGCTGTGTGAGCTCGGGAAGGCGGTTTGGCCTCTCTGAACCTGCTTTCCCATCTATACTATGAAGATGCAGGAAGTGCCTCACGGAGGTGCTCGGTGTCTAAGTGACAGTGACAAGTATAGAAGAAACTTCATTAAAGTCTCTATGCTTGTTCGTCATGCCGTCAGCTCCACCCGTCCAGGGACACAGAGGACTTAGGGAGTCTGACCCCAAACCAAGAAGCACCTAGGACAATCAGGGACTCTCCTGTTTTCGAACACATGGCCTGTCTCCCCAGTCCCATCAGCTTCATGTCCCCAGTTCTCCTGCACAGGAACCAGCATCCTCACCTCTCTAGGCAGCTCCCACAGTCTTGGACACAGTGACCTGAGCAGCTAGGGAAACTGAGGCACAGAGAGGGTTACCATCATCCCAAGATCACACAACAATTCAACAGCTACTCTGACAGCCAGAACCTCCCAGAATGAGGCCAAGGAAGCCCCAAACCACCTCTTCTCTGCCTCCCTCACCATGGACAAGCCAAGGCCAAAATGGGGCACTGAGGCCGCGAGGAGCCCACAGCCCCCACCCCAACCTGCCCTTGTTCCCAAGCCTGCATCTGGGTCGAGGGTTCGGGCGAGTCCTGGAGACTGATGCTGTCTGGTCCGGTGCAGGGGGACTCCGGCGGCCCGCTGAACTGCCAGGCTGAGAACGGCCCCTGGGAGGTGCGCGGCATCGTGAGCTTCGGCTCCGGGCTGGGCTGCAACACCCTCAAGAAGCCCGCAGTCTACACCCGCGTGTCCGCCTACATCGACTGGATCAAGGAGGTGGGCACCGGCCCCTCGCCCTCACACAGCCATTCATTCGCTGGTTCCGTCACACATCCATTCACGCACTTGTTCACATACCCACCTGTTCAGTGATCCGCTCACTCACTCAATCAACCAAGTGCTCACTGGACGCAGCCTTGAGGCGGGTGCAGGAGAGAACACAGTCATTACCTTCTCCACCCATTTATCCACTGGGTTCAGCAAAAAGCTCCTGTCCTGACCCTGGGCACCCACCAGTCCCCACAAAAGAGAAATGTGGACCCAGGAGAGCAGGGCCCAGCAGAGGATAGGGGGCAGCACAGCTGGCCGTGCTGGGGGAGCAGAGGGTCACTCAGCCCGGGGGCTCTCACACCGGGACAGGCGCGTGTTCTGAGTCCCCCGTTTGGAGGGGACAACTGTCTGAAGGGTTGGGGGACCCAGAGCCCTTAGGCGGAGGCACGACTGGCTTGGGAAGTCCCGGGGCCGCCCATGGTGCCCCCTTCTTCCTACTCTGCCAGCAGAGCCCCTGAAGGGGACCGGGCACGTGGGCACACACACACTCACTTTGTTCTCTGCTCTTGCAGAAAATACAGCTGTAATTCATCCGTGGGAGCCGTGGCAGCAAATCCCCGCAACCACAATAAACGTCCTACCCCCTCAAGCCGCCTGCATGCTTGACTTGCGCCTCCCCAGCAATTCCCAGGCTTTCTAGGGCCCCCCCCTTTCCACTTCAGGAATACAAAGAGACACACACATACCCAGCCAGGCTGGTCAGGCCTTGGAGTCTGCTCCTGGGGGTGCTTGTGAAGGGGGATCCCAGGAAGCCAACTTGTGCCCCAGGGGACAGGAGTTAAGGATGCACCAGACACTTGTCCCCAGCCTCTCACAGCTGTGCGACACGTGGCCCTTATCAAGTCACCTCTTCCTGATCCTGCCTCCACAGAGGAGTCGGAAGGTCCTCGGGCCACAGAAGGAAGCCCCTGCCCAGGGACAACTGCCGCTTCCTGAGGAAGACGCTCCCTAGCATACCCCACCCCAGGGCGGACCCCACGGCTGCAGGGAGCCTGGGCTCACTGAGACGGGGAAGCATTTGTGAGCTCTGGCCTCACACCAGCCCTGTGCTGGGTGCAGGGAGGGCACAGGAGGAAGGGGAGGCCGCGGCCCAGCCCTCGGGGGGAGCAGGTTTGAGAAAAGAGAACATTTCCACGTGCGGTCACAGCAGGTCAGAGCTGGAAAAGCTTTCGTTCTGTTAGACAGGCTGGGAAACAGAGGCCCAGGGAGAGGAAGGAGCTGGGCCAGGTCACAGAGCAGAGCCGTCGAGACTCAGTGAAAGCAGAGCCCCTCCTGAGATGCCCAGGAGGGCAGCTGGGGCCCAAGCCCAAAAAGTGAATGACCCAGTGTTTAGTGGGGGGACAGTCCAAGTGGGGACCCCACCCCCTGACCACACACTCCGGAGAATGTGCCGATCTACGAAGGGTAGTGCCCCCCCTCCGCCCCCGGCATCTGAACTCTGGCCTCTCATCTCCTCAGAGACCCCTCGGCTACTGCCGCCCTCTGGTTGGTCCATGAGTTGCCCTGTTTCCCTGTCACACTTTGGCCCCTGGAGGTGGGGCCAGGGCGCACCTCTCATACCTCACTGCGCCAAGGCAATTCCCAGGGAAGGCTCGACTCATTCATCAAGAAAAACATCTCCAGCCCTGGCTGGTGCAGCTCAGTGGACTGAGCAAAGGCCTGCAAACCAAAGGGTCACTGGTTCGATTTCCAGTCAGGGCACATGCCGGGTCCCCAGTTGGGAGAACATGAGAGCAACCACACACTGCTATTTCTCTCCCTCTCTTTCTCATTACCTTCCTCTCTCTCTAAAAATATGTTTAAAAAGAAAGACACCTCCAAGCGGCTGCCATTGCCTAGGGCTCAAGGCATGGGGCAGGGAGGACGTGACCAATAGTCCTGGGTACTGAGTAGTTCTCTAGGGTATGAGACTTTCAAGAGCTAAAACCAAGACAGTCCTGGACACACGGGATGCTTGGTCGCCCTAACTGGGAGGGGCAAGAGGGTTAGCAAAGGGCTTTCATGGAAAGCCTTATAGCTATGGTAGGGGGTCTTGGGACTTTATTTGGAGGGCAATAGGGAGCCATAGAGGGTTTTAGGTAGAGGCAGGACTGCTGTGGCCAGATATACACACTGAAGTATTTATCTGACAGCTGTATGGAGGGTGACTGGGAGCAGGCAAGCAGGGAGGCAGGAAGGCCGGCCAGAAGGGTCTAGGCTGGGCCAAAATTGACGCGGCCCCGACCACGGCAGTAATGGAAAGGAGAGAGAGGAATGCAGAAGTGCCGAAATAATTCAGTACTCATTTAAGAGGCATATGCACAGTGGTGAACAACAGCCCCCCCCCCAGCCCCAAACCTATATAAACTTTTGGGAATGTGATTGAATTAACAAAACTACTTTTATTAGCTAAGAAAGGTTGAAACATAAGCCATGGTTCTGTTTGTTTGGCAACAACATAAAATCCTCAGATTCAGGCACAAGATCCACTGCTGTGTCCGAGAGTCAGGGTCCACCTGCGGTGGACAGGACCGTAGCCCTCCGAAGATGTCCACACGCTAGTCCCCAGAACCCGTGAATGCTTCTCCTACCTTATGTGGCAAAGGGGATTTTGCAGATGTGGTCGATTTAAGGATCGTGGGATGGGGAGAACAGCCTGAATTATCCAGGTGGGCCCGATTAAATCATGAGGGGCCTTATAACAGGGAGACAGGAGGGGCGGAGTCAGAAGGGGTTGTGGGGATGGAAGCGGGCCCAGGATCAGAGAGGGGCTTGAAGATGTTACCCTGCTGGCTTCGTAGAGGGAGGGAGGAGTCACCAGCCAAGCAAGGCAGTCGGCCTTTCCTCTAGAGCCTCCGGAAAGATCCAGCCCTGGTTTAGCCCTGTGACCCTGATCGTGGCCTTCTGACCTCCAGAACTGTGAGGAGGACACATTTCTGCGTTTTAAGCCACTGCTTGTGTGGTAAGTTGTTAAAGCAGCCAAAGGAAATAACTACACCGTCCTTCCTCTCTTGTGGCAAAAATCCAGTTCGCTGGGGGGCTGGAGGGGAGAAGGACGTGTGGGGGGGCGCTCCCCAGGTGCTGGCTGGGGTGACAGCAAGGAGCTGTGCCCTTTGCCCAGGAGGGCCCAAACCAGTGTTTGGAAGCGAGAGAAAGCGGGGACTTAGGCACCGACCCTCCCACCTCAGCCTTCAGAGACCCGCTAGAGCGCCACTGTGTCTGAGGCACTCGCCGTGCCTAGCACGTAGTGAGCCCTCGGCTGTGAGCCAGGACTTCACCGCACTGTCTCATTGAATAATCACGGCAGCCCTCATGGTCATCCCCCTTTACAGATGAGGAAACGGGGACTCGGAAAGGGCTAAAAACTCGCCCAAGATCACACAGCTTGGTAGGGGGCAGCAGGCGTTAAACCCAGGCCATCTGACCCCAGAGCCTGTGTGGCTACAACCGTGTCATTCTGCCATTAACCCCCAAATCTTGAGAAACACTGAAGTCCTCTAGTGGCCCTGCCACAGGGTGGGTGGGTGGGGGGCGGGCCGGGGGCTGGGGGTGGTGCCGACAAGCCTGAACAGAGTTGGCGACGAGCCCAGACAGACAGGAACCCGAGACGTCACAGAGGGCCGCTCCCACGGCACCCGCTACTGCTGGCGCAATCAATAACGCTGCGTCACAGCTGACCGCAAGCCCTCAGTGGCATCCAGTGACAGGACGGATCGTTCACACGTCTGGGGGTTGGCTGGGGGGCCCTGCTCTTTTGTCTGGCATCCCCCTGCCCATGTCTCAGGGCCTGGAGGTTGGCTGATCCAGCCTGGGTCTCAGCTCCACCTGCCTCTCGTCTTCCTCCTGGGAAGACGCTGCAAAGTTAATGGCAAAAGGCGTGGATACTGGGAGGGGTAAAGAGACGGGCCGTGCTGGCAACCTACATTATCTCAGCCACAAATCAGCATCGTGAACAACGGGAGGGCACGCACTACACTCTGCCACCCACAGCCACCGCCAGTGGCCAAGTCAAGTAACCTCCCAGAGCCTCAGTTTCCTCATCTCCAAAATGGGCACCTGCCTTCCCTCACCATTGGGAGTCGATGAAATCCCGGGGCCTTGTAATAAGACTCATTACTTCTACTGACCTCACACCTGGACTCCTATTAGCAAATCCCCTCTCTCCCTTTGTTCCTTAGGGGAGAGAGCCCCATTCCCAGCAGGCCTTGGGGGCCGGTTCCCTGAAGCTCCATCCTATGAGGCTGGGGCAGGTGTCTGCAAACATTCTCCTGGTGGTGGGCCAGGGGGGGCAGCAGTAAAGACAGAATAAACTCGGAACATCTTCCCAGGGCATCAATTCTCCCTGATGACTGGGTGGGAAGAAAAAGAATTTACATGAAAATACATGTAAATTGATTTTATGCTATGCTAGGAAGTGAGCTGCAAAATGCAGATCAAGCTTTAAGAAGGAGACATCAGAGACATTTGCTGGCCTGGTGGCCCCCACACACACGACCTCACATCAGCGCTTCACTGCAGACCGCAGCCTGCACGCCAAATCTGTTTTGTAAATAAAGTTTTATTGGAAACCAGCTATGCCCAGATGGCTGCTTTCGCAGCGTTGACTAGTTGCAACCGAGACCATATGGCCCACAAGCTAAAATATTTACTATCTGGTCCTTCACAGGAAAAGTTTGCTAGGATTACTGGATGGAAACATATGAGGAGCTCTGTGCTATTCTGATATCGGAGGCCAGCAGCCTGGGGATTTAGAGTGAACATTATTGTACATTTACTCTCTTATCAGTGTTTGGAGTGAATAAACTGTGTTTTACTTTTACCCACAAACCTAAGAGATGGGTGGAATGTCCATGGTTCCTATTTACTAGGTAGAGAAGCTGGGGAAAGAAAGATGAAATGTGCCCCAGCACCGTTCTTCCCAATGTCCACATGCAGGAGAACCACCTGCATGTCTCGCTAACCCGCCGAGGCTGACTCAGCCGGCCTGGGCAGGAGGCCTGCACTGCTCACCAGCTCCTAAGCCCTGGCTGCTGCTGGTGCAGACCGCTCTCTGGGCAGCAAGGACCCAAACCACAGTCAGCACAGGGTGTACACCCAAGCCCCAGCCACGGAGCCCAATGGCCTCTCAGAGGAACCTCTCTGAATGAGTCAAAACCTGCCTGAGAAGTCCACACCTACACCTCTGCCCCCACTGCAGCCTCAAGGACACAGCCCTGGTCAGAACTCAACTGCCTTGTTGTCCAGCGACGTAGAAATGGGGAACTGAGCACCGGAGGGGGAAGCGAGCCGGAGAGTGGCTATTTGCTGTCTTCCTCCCTGGCCTCCATTCGCTGTTTAGAACCCGGGGTTTTTGTTTCTATGCCACCCATCCCCCACTCCTACTACCCGAGGTCTGGGTAGGAGGCGCATGCCTAGATTGAGGGGCAAGACTTGTGCTCCAGGCCTGGCCAACTAACGTGTTGCATCCCCTCTCCCACCATAACAATTGGCTCAGGGATGGGCATGTGACCTGACGCAGGTCCCATCAGAGAGCTGAGGGACTTCCGAACCCTAAAAGGCTCTCACTCTCTGCTAAAGAATGGAGCATGAGGCTACAACAGCAAGAGGG